TTCTTTAATTAGTTGAGGATTTGGCTTGCCTGGAACTCCTCCCCCAACTAATTAATTCATTCAACTGAGTTTTATTACATTTTTCAGTTAATTACTGACAGTTTTTACATATAATAATAGGTAAATATTTTTTGTCAAGCCATGTAGCATGGTATTATTGGATTTCCTTCCCTGTGCAACATTTTTGTTTTTCCAGAAGTTAATAACTGTACAACTTTTGTTTGCTTATTTTTATGTATGTATTTAAACTTTCTTGAGATCAAAACTTGTCAAATGCTTTGTAAAATCTTTCAAATAATCAAACACATCCAACCATCTGTTTTCAGTCTCCCTCTCTTTTTTTCTCCTCTCTTTCCTGGAAACATTTCTTCTTCCTCCATCCTCTTACTCTGATCTGTTTGTTGGCTGTGCCTTTTGAACAAGGCTTAATCTAGAACTTTCCAATACTTTTTCTGTGTTAGCTCACTTTCCAAGATTCCATGTCCTAAGAGAGCATGTTAAACACAAATACATGGAAGTAAAATTTTTTATTTCTTGCATTCCTGAAATTATTATTTTATCCTCAGAGTATGTTATTAGACATGTCAGAGACAATGAGAAACTGTAACTACTGAACTTGAAGACATATTAACCCTTTGCACTTGCTTGCTTTTTTCTCATCTTCCACTCAACATTATCCACACTCGACATCCGAGTGCAAAGGGTTAATAGAAACTCTTAAAAATAAAATATAGACCTAAATGTAAAACTCAAAACTATAAAACTTCTAGAGGAAAACATAGAAGGAAATCTTTGTGATCTTGGGTTAGTTAAAGATTTCTTAGATAAATCACTAAAAGCCTGATTCTTAAAAAATTGATTTATAAACTAAATTTTATCAAAATAAAAATCTTTTGGCTCTTTCATAAGAGTATGAAAAGGCAAGCCACAGTTTGGGAGCAAATATTTGCAAAACACATATTTGATGAAAAACATTTAAGCAAACTACACAAAGAGCTCTCAAAACTCAACAGTAAGAAAACAAACAACTCCATTTAAAAAATTGGCCAAAGATATGAACAGACAATTTAATAAAAACGATATAGGGATGGCAATTAAGCACATGAAAAGATGTTCAACATCATTAGTCATTAGAGAAATGCAAATAAAAGCCATAGTGAGAGAATACTTCACATCTATTACAATGAAAAATTAAATAGACTGACTATATCAAGTATTATCAAAGATGTAGAGGACCTGGAACTCTCATATAGCTGGTGGGAATGTAAGATGTCAGTGTGTTAAAAAGTTAAACCTGCACTTATTATATGTTCCAACAATTCCACCATTTACCCAAGAGAAAAGAAAGTATATACACATACAAAGGCTTGTACACATGCTCTTACTAATTTTTTTCTGATAGCGAAGTCCTAGAAACAACCCAAATGTTTATCAATAGATAAATGAATAAACTATGGTATATCCATACACCATCCATACCGCTCACTAGTGGAAAGGAGCAAAATATTGCTACACATAATGTGAATGAATCTCAAAGTTAGTATACTGAGTGAAAGAAGCCAGACAAAAATGATTATATACTGCATGAGTCCATTTATATAAAATTCTGGATAATGCAAACTAATCCATAGTGACAGGAAACAAATCAGTGGTGGCTGCCTGGGGTGGGGGTGAGGGGCTCCAGATAGGAGTTATAAAGGGCTCTCTGTCTTGAAGTCATGATGGTCTCATGGATGTATACATGTGTCAAAGTCTATCAAAACTGTACACTTTGATTATGTGCAGTTCTTATATCAGTTATACTTTGGTAACATTTTTTAAATTTAAAAAGACATCATACATATATCTGAAATTACACATTTCTAATAATTTCAACAATGCTTTCAGATCACTGGTACATGTGCATCCATCAGTATCTATTCAGCCAAGCACTGTCCCGTGTTCCAGTCCCTAACTCCACTGGCTTTCAGTCTAATGGGAGAGAGAGATAATTGTATATATAAAACAATAACACTACGTAACACTTGAGCTCTTTCTGCATGACAGGCATTTTTTTTTAAAGTGTCCCATGTGCTTAATGCATTATTTTACTGATGTGGGCACGGAGGTACAGAGGGTGAGAGCCTTGCCTGAGGTCACTCAGTATGTGGCAGAGCTGAGATCCAAACCCAGGCAGGCGGCTGCAGGGTTTGTGCTCCCACCCACCTCACTGCCCTGCCTTCACAAGGACAGCCTGAGAAGGGCTGCGAAGTGACCACGTGTTCCGGCAGGGCTCCCCAGGGTGAGGTGGGAGAAACAGGAAAGGGTTGCCCTGGGCAGTCTGGGGTGAAGGAAGGCAAGTGCCTTCCAGGCAGCACGTGTGTGGGTCTTGTGTCTTTCTAGTCACTCTCTCTATTTCTCTTTCTCTAAAATGGGCAGAGGTGGGGACTCGTGTGCCTATTGCACTTGATAATCACGGAGAACAGATCTGAGCCCCTAGGGCCTGGAAGCAAACTCTCTCCTGGCGGAGTCTCTGAAGGCTCAACCCAAGCAATAGTGGAGCTGTAAACACTGGCTGCCAACTGCAGTTTACTTTTTTTTTCCATTTTTTAAAAATTTCAGCATATTATGGGGGTACAAATGTTAAGGTTATGTATATTGCCCATGCCCCCCTTCCCCTCTCGAGTTGCACTGTACTTTCAGCCACCAAGGGTTTCCATACTTTTGTAGATGCTTTTCTGAAGCCTTTTGGAGGGAGTCCTGCAGCTGCTGAAAGCTGTGCCAAAATCCGTGTTTTAATTTGAGGAAGATCCATAAATGACTATGCTATGGTAATACTGCTATTCAGAGTGGCAGTCTGGACTGCAATATTCTTATTCACATCAAGAGGGGAGATAAACTCGGATTTACAAGTGCCAAAGGCCAAAGCCACTCCTTCCCCACTGGACGAATCTCTAACCTAAACACATTACAGAATTAAAATTTAGACTAATTGCAAATTAGCGATGGTCATAAAGAGTGCAGGGTGCTGTTGTAAAGCCTGTGTGTAGCCCTCTGGTATTATTATAATTGTTTTAAAGGAAAAACCAGATTAGGGCTGAGGCATGACAACACGAAGGACACTCAGCGTTCAGCAAGTCGAGACAGGCAGCTCAGGGGCCCCACTAATCTTGAAGTCCCTGAAAAGTATATTGTTAATACTACATGACAGATAAATTATATCTCAAACCCCAAGAAACGCCTAGAGGGAAATCAAAAAATGCCGTGAGCAGGCAGACCTTTTATAATTTTCCCAGGATACTGCTATGTTTCCAGAAACCGGCTCACAGCCCCACTGAATCACATACGTCACATTACCAGAAATAGTTGCTGACAAATACTTCATTTAAATGCTGTTGAGATAAAAGCAGGGAGGCTGTGAATAGTTAAAGGCAGAAAAGTAACATATGTGTCCATTGCTACGTTGTCCCAAATGGGTAGTACCTTAATCATTTTTTTTCATTCCTCGCTGCTCTGCCAGGGACTGGAAGACATATGTCACTTTTCCACCTTAACAGGGCATTTTCTAGTTTGTTTGGATTTATGTCACAAGCTTAATGAGATTTAAATGGAATTTTTGTGTGTGAATAATATGGAGCATTAGTGCAAAAACTTTCATTGGCTGTGCTGCTGACATGATTTGCATAAGGGTTTTTAAATATGAAAGGAGAATATTGAAGTCCTTATAAATCACAAGGCAAGAGCTACACTGGAGCAATAGAGGAAGCAGATCAGATTGTCTAAGTAACTATAGTTTCTGAAAAAAGGTTACTATGCTGTGTAGACAGGGTGTTTAGGGAGAGACCCCAGGAAGAAACAGAGTATAGGCTGCTAGCTTGGTTGTGAGCCAGATGTGGCTTTCTTTCTCTTTTTAAATAACTCACAGGAGCATGGACATCATCTCACTGCTCCCTTGCCGGCTTGGGGACATTCCAAGGCCCCCTCCCCACTTCCTTGCACTCCCTGGGGCTTGAAGGATCTCCATGAGGTCCCCTTCTTTTGCTTTGAGTCATCTCACTATGTGCCTACTGTGGTATTTTACTCACCCTCCTCTCATCCCAGGTCAGGAAGGAGAGGAGGAGCTTTGATCTACCCTCAGGGGACTGGAAACCATGCCTTGGAAAGTCACCACTTGCCTGTGTTCTCATCCTCCATCTGTGCTGAGCCACCGGTCACTAGAGGCAGTGAGCAGGGGATGCCCCAGGGGACCTGCCTGGTAGAAGAGGAGGAAGGAAAGAGGACAGCCTCAGAAACTCCTTGAAAGTGTCCCCCAGGCAGGCTTTAGTCTGCAGTGGCAGCTTAATCAAGTCAGCGTGCATCAGGGTGCAGGGTGGCCTGGGGCAGTTTGCAGGAAATCTGTGCCCTCCCCAGCTCTTACGGAAATGAGATTGTGATTTCAATCTCCATGGCCTGCAGAGTCCCCGATATGAAGGAGGATGAAGTCACTGTCTCCCTGGGAAAACAGGAGGAGCATTCAAAGGAAGGCCCCCCACCCGTCACTTGTTCCTACTGGGCTGTGCCAGGTCGGACCTCACGCTACAGCTTTTAGGGGCACACGGAGTACACCTGAGTCACAGGTGTAAGAGGGAAATGGATCTCAATTGGGTCCGTTACTGAGTTGTGCCAAGACCAGAGGAAAATCAGCCATACCGACACTGTATTTAAAATTGATATTCTGTCCATCATGGATTTTTTTGGCATACATTTCAATTTGTGGCACCCCTGTCAATTTTGCCCCGTAGGTGAACCCCTCACGCACTCCATCCTAGTCCCGGGGCCTGGATCTAATCTAGCTCCTTAGGTTTTCAGATGAGAAAACTGAGGCAGGGAGCACAAAGGGACTTACCCAGTGTGACATAGATAATTAATGGAAATATGAATTAAAGTTTATGTTCAACCTTTTGGGTTTTTTTTTTTTTCCTTTCCTACTTCATCATATTGCTCCTTCACTTGCTAAGTTTTTTTCTTTTTTTTCCTTTAAGATGGAAGAAAAAATTTCCTGAAGTCTGGGGAAAGTTTCCTTCTCATCAAGTTTAAGGCCCATAGTGGCAGGTGAGGAGGGAGCAAGGTGAGGTGAGCGACTGTCGCGGGAGGGAAGAACCTGGCAGCGCGGCGCGCTTCACAGAGCGGTCCCGGTGGAGCCACTTCTCTATAGCTACGGGTTATCTCTTCTAAGGTAGGTCAAGTAGGATCTTTAAATGGCTGCTTCTTCAGACTTATAGCTATTTTAATTTAACTCCAAGTGCTTAGAGGAACACTTTTATTTAACTTCAGTAGAGTATAGCTTTATTAAAGTCAAATAAGAAATAGAAAAAAGATGAACCCGGAGAAAATATGCCAATGGAAATTCTTATTTGAGAAATGTCCAGATATTACATGTCTTTCATTTTAATTTATTTCTTAAGCATTGAATGAAATTGTAGGCCCACCTGAGAAGCAAAATAAGATTAGTCTACCGAACAATAGGTAACCAGGTTAGAAAAAAAAAAGAGAGAGCAAAATTTGCAGAGATAAAAGTTTAATTATGTCCTAGTTGCTTGCTGAGATCTGGAAATCAATGTAGTTATTTCAATATAATTCTTGGTGGGCTATCAAATGACATGAGGGATCTTTGTACCCCTTCTGTTAAAATATAGCCACCATAAAATAATTAACAATAATGGAGTTGACATTAGATTAATGTAGCTAACCTCGGGTTGGTAGTGGAATTGCTTTTTGAATGAAACAGAAAAAAAGAAAAAATTAAGAGCAGACCTCTGTGTGAGTGAAATAGCAAGGAACGTGCCTGGAACTCTGAAGACGTGTTATCCTTTGTCTCGGTGTGAAATGAAATTCTGTAAAGTCTGCTTAAGACTTTCTTTTAGGAAAAATTTATGAAAAATACCTCAAATGAAAAAACCTAGGTGGTTGAAATTGATCACTTTTATATAATTTAGATCATAACTAAAACATTGAATATACCATATTGCAAAAGCTAATCAGCATAATTTTCTCTTTTTTTCAGGGGCGGTGGGGATGGTGGTGGTTATGGGATATTGAGATAGGTTTGAATTCCATTTAGGCTACTTATCAGTTATATGACTGAGCCTTAGATTTTTCATACATATAGTTGTGAAAATAGTACCAACAACTTACCTATCTTAAAATGTTTTTGTGTAAAGCTAATTCCTAAGTGTTCTCTCTCTCTCTCTCTCTATATATATATATATGTATATATATATATATATATGTATAAATGTTTTTTATTATTTGTTAAGTATTTATTAAAAATAAATATTTTGGTGGATTTTTATAAGTTAAAAAATCTGCTGAGCTACTTATTAACTGAACCAATATTCTGGTGGATATCATGCAGTTGTGTTCATAAGACTAAGAGAGCATTTTATTTAAAAAAGGGAAAAAAATATTTGGAAACTTTCTGCCTATGCTTGGTATAATAGCCCATCTAGGGGTGAGGCAACATCAGATGGGCATTCAGCTTGTCAGCTGCGTCTCAGGATTGAATTTTCTTATTTTAGCCCTATGCAAATGCCAATCGTTTCCACTGATAGTATCCTGCTATCTGACTTGCAATTCCACACTTTGTTTTTTGAACTTTATGAAGTCAGATTCCACTGTAGCCATTCTGGAGCCAGTTGCTTTAGCTTCAATACACAAGAAGCTTCCTAAGGACCCAAAAATGTTGTGGATGTTGTTATTGGAAATTCTTTACTCTGATTCCTTTGCTTGGGAATCCTTTGGATTTCTGGTTCTAACAAATGTCTGAATCTGATTTTTACAATTCATTACTAACTTGGTTAAATCATTTAAATGTGCATCATTTGACAAAAAAATAAGGAAACTTCCATGATGTAAAAAGAAAACAATACCACCAAAAAACTTGGTGCTAGGAATATGGAACCAACAGATACATGGGATACCCTTGAACCATTTGTCTCCCTATTGATTCATGGATTTAACAATATTTATTGAGAAACAACTATAATGCTAATAAGCACTTTGCTAGGTGGTAGATAGAGTTATGAGTAAAAATCAAAGACATCATCCCTGCCCTCATAGAACATTCAGTATCATAAAAAGGATAGATTTTAATCAAAGAATCACATAAATAACAGCTACAAGGAGAAGTCCATGGTGACTTTAAGAATAAATAATAGAGAAAGTGATCTGGACATGGATTCTGACAAAATCTCCCTGAAGAAGCCTGAGATCTAAAAGAGATTTGTAATTACAAATAGGAAGAAAGGCAAAGGCAGCGGGTAGAGGGAGAAGGATTCCAGCCAGAGGATGCAACAAGTGCCAAGGCCCTGTGTCAGAGGGGACATGGGATGTTAGAGAGCCTGAGAGCCATCCGGTGTGGCTGGAGCCTGCTACAAAATGACCATGCAGGGACAGAGAGAAGCCAGACTGTGTAGGTCTTGGTAGCCATCTGAAGAGGTTTTGTCTTGATTCTGAGGCTAATGAGAATCATTGAAATGGTTTGATCCAGCTTGTGAGGTGTGTGTGTGACAAGATCAGATTTGCATTTGGAAACGCTGACTGTGGCTGACTGTTGTGTATAAACAGAAGATTGAAGGTGGGCTTGAGTCAATGCATGGGGCTCCTTTAAAAGGTAATTCTAGTTGTCCAACAAAGAGCTGCTGGTTGTTGAGATCAAGGTTCGCATGGCAGAGCTGGGGAAGGTGAAAGGCTTTGAAAGAAATTCAGGAAGGCACTTGGCAAGACACCATGCAAAGATAGATCATACCTTGGAGTTTCTTCTGATAGTTTTAGGAAAGCTCATCTTATTTGTACTGATTTTTTATTTTCAAACCTTTCAAAAGAAATTTATTTATGTATTTATGCATACCCGCAAGAGTTAAGGAGTGTGCCAGGCACTGGGGCATTTCATGAAGAGCCTTCATGGGCTTACAACTGGCTGATACGGTCACTTTCTTTATAGGGCATTGAATTCTCCCTTCTGTATTCATATTTTTTATTTGTTTGTCTCAAACTACACCTCAGAATGCCAGGGAGACAATTTGGCATTGCATCATTTGTCATCATGAAGTGTATCAAGCGGCTAAAATGTGTTTCATGTACAGATAACCAACTTACTAATAATATTTTCATTTGGGAGTTTCTCTCTTGCTCTTATCCTCCATTCTTGTTCAAACTGTACTGAAACTTCCTTGTGGTTGAAAAAGTGGGGTCCATCTCATCTTTGTCCTTTGAGAATATGGTTTTGATTGCTCGAGTTACATCCATTTCTAGTGGCACTTGGCGGCAGGCCCCCAGCAATGGTAGAGGGATTGGACAGTTCAAGGCGGTAGTTTGGAAAGCAGAACTATAAATGGAAGCATGTAATATGAAATCCCGACCAAACAGCTTTCAGAATTTAACCTCCAACTGAGCCCTTCTGATATGTGAAGGATGAATTGTGCTGGCTGTTTTAGGGGGAAAAACTGTCTGTCTAATAGCTACTTCAAAATCTCTCCCCTTTGACCCATGTGGAGTCTTCCTTGTTAAAAACAGAAGGAAGCTAAAAGTATGGAGAATATAAAATAAAGGATAAAAGGTATTCTCTTAAGCTGCTTGCTAATCACAGTGGGGACTGTAATATCAGTCTATCTGTCTAGTTATTACCTATATAAATTTTAAGATCTTTATTTCTATTTAGTAGAATAAAAGGTTAAAACCTCAAATTTATCTCTATTGGAAGCAGAATGATTTTCTCACACTACCCTTTCACCTGATCTATGTTTAATTTAGACAGGCACATTCAATTACTTCTTATTTATCCTGATCTTTAAAATCACAGTTTCAAAAAAAATATCACTTCTATTGGGGTTTAACTTCTCTGGGTTCTTGTGCAGAAAAATTCTGTTTTTGATGCATTTTATTTCTCCCACTTGATCTCTCACAAGTAGTCTGCCCCTACTAGTGATTCTCAGAGTTACACGGTGATTGTTGAAATGCTAGATGCCAAAGCCCCAGATGTTCTGACTCATGAGATTGGGGACAAGGCTGAGGAATCTGACTTTTATTTAACATCCCAGGTGGCTCTCTTTTAGGGTATCTTAAGACCCCCCCTCTTTGAGAAACACTGCTTTAACCCAAAGAGCTTGTTTTAAAAAGTTCCTGAGCTGAAACACCATTAGAGCAGTGCATTGTATATAGATTTTTGTTCCCCCTCTTTCCTACATACCATTCATGTACAATATATCCAGGTTGAGATGTCATTTTTTATTTTCAAATACTTTTATCAGAAGAGTTTTCTCTCTCTGCCTCTGGGTACCCTATTATAAGGCAAAAAATAAATCTGAATATTCACTTAATAACTTAAAAATATGAGAACATTAAACCCTGAATTGAGTCTTCAGATCGCTCAGCCCGTTACTAATTTTTGTGCCATAAGTGATGTAGAGCCTCCATTGTTATCTTTTTTATTTGAGAGATCTGTCACAGAGCTGTCACATCCCAGACTTGCATTTTGCCAAACTTTCTTTAAAAATATTTTAAGTGGATGAACATCTCTGTGACAAATTTAGACTGTGTGTGTGTGTAATATCCTAAGCCATCATCCACTATGAATTTAAGTCCCACTGGCCACCATGTGGTGGTCCTCAGAGTTTTGTACAATGGTCACTAGCGTTAGAAATAATCATCATTATTATAATAATCATCATTTCCTTTCAGAATGTGCTACTGCTGGGCCTTGCTCTTGTGACACACCTAAGAATCTCAGATGACATAAATGAAGGTGCCATCTGCAACAGTGTAGGAACACTTTCTATATTCCTGCTATTGTTACCAACGAGAGTTAATTGTTTCCAGGTGCTTCCTGAAGCCCTGATTTAAACAGCCCCATCTGGATTGTAATTGATTAGCTGGAATGGCATCTTCAACCTCTGTGACTTGTGAGCACTTGGAATAAACTGGTACACTTCACCTACTCACATGGGCTCTGGTTCCAGGAGCCTTTTAACGGGGGGGGGGGGGGGGGGCTTTCTAAAATGATTTTCTAGGATAAAGACCCAAATAGTCTGGTAAAATGAGATGACATGAATAAACTGATTGTCTTAGAAGCACTCCAGAAGAGAGAGTTTCTCGTGGTAGAGGGGGTTCTTGGGTGTGCTGCAGCTGAGTTGTTGGATTGCTGTTTGTTTTGTTAGTTAACTGAAGGGAGTCTTGGCT